CCTCCCTTCCCTCCCCTCACCCTGACCATTTCCCCCCTGCGCGGGTCCTGACCCAACTGTACAGCGCCTTGGGACGTCCTCCCGACGTGAAAGGCGCTCTATAAATGGAATCTTGTTGTTGTTGTTGTATGTCTCTATATCAATGTCTTTCTATGTAGTTATCTCGCACTCTCTCTCTCCATATATTTGTATTTCAGTCAGTTACTGGTTCGAGGCTCAATGAGGCCAAGAGAGGAAATGTTATGTGTATGGAAATGCTGTTGTTTCTCTGTTAATAAAGATATGAACTGCAGTTCTGGGCTGTGTGGGGAACGCCTAAATAAAGGGGTACAAGTGAACTCAATACAACATGGTTTTACCACTCAAAATAGTACTATTTACACCGAATGTAAACTCAAACGTCCGATGGTCAGTGAAACAAACGGACCCAGTTTGAGCTGTTGCTACATGTTTATGATATATTTCAGCTGTGTTAGAAATACATGTTGCTTTTGTCCTTTGCAGCAGAGAGGCCCACACTGTGGAATTGACTGTCCCGGGATGTGTGTGACACCAGCAGCATTTAACCTGACAGTCCTGATAATCAGCGATTAGTTTAAAAACAATATTGATATATCTATTTGTAGATAGAATATGCATTTACACTCATTTCAAGCAAGCAATCCTTAAACAGAAGGAAAAAAACAAATGTATTATTAGCCTGTTTCCAGAGATTACAGCAGCTCACACTTGTGGCGTGAAGGCATGGTGTTTGTGTGTGTGGGGGGGGTGGGGGTGGTGGGGTGGTTCTGGGGCAGGCATCCCTGCATTTACCCTTTGGTGCAGGAACCAAGGCTGCACCATCTTGGGCTTCTGCCCCTCTTTGTATGGCACAGTAACAAGATAAGTCTCCTGATGAATTGAAATGTGGAACAGTTAACACATAGAGGATATGGACACATTTTTGGAATATTCCCTTTAATCACAGTGGGGAAACGGGCTTTGTTACCCGCTAGTCCCTTATCAACCTATGTCTGTGAATCCCTAGGTCTCTCTACCCCTGTACTCCCTTCAAAACGATACCATCTAGTTTCCTGTCTGTAACCTTGCAGCTACGCTATCCCCCAGTGCCTTCACCGCTTCCTCGCTTTCCTCCTTCAAGGCCGATCTCAAGACCTTTCTCTTTGACCTTCAGCCTTCAGCTCCGCTCTCGACTCTCTCCCCCCTCCTCGCTCCCTTCCTTCCCTCCCCTCACCCTGACCATCTCCCCCCTCCTCGCCCCCTCCCTTCCCTCCCCTCACCCTGACCATTTCCCCCCTGCGCGGGTCCTGACCCAACTGTACAGCACCTTGGGACGTCCTCCCGACGTGAAAGGCGCTCTATAAATGGAATCTTGTTGTTGTTGTTGTATGTCTCTATATCAATGTCTTTCTATGTAGTTATCTCGCACTCTCTCTCTCCATATATTTGTATTTCAGTCAGTTACTGGTTAGAGGCTCAATGAGGCCAAGAGAGGAAATGTTATGTGTATGGAAATGCTGTTGTTTCTCTGTTAATAAAGATATGAACTGCAGTTCTGGGCTGTGTGGGGAACGCCTAAATAAAGGGTACAAGTGAACTCAATACAACATGGTTTTACCACTCAAAATAGTACTATTTACACCGAATGTAAACTCAAACGTCCGATGGTCAGTGAAACAAACGGACCCAGTTTGAGCTGTTGCTACATGTTTATGATATATTTCAGCTGTGTTAGAAATACATGTTGCTTTTGTCCTTTGCAGCAGAGAGGCCCACACTGTGGAATTGACTGTCCCGGGATGTGTGTGACACCAGCAGCATTTAACCTGACAGTCCTGATAATCAGCGATTAGTTTAAAAACAATATTGATATATCTATTTGTAGATAGAATATGCATTTACACTCATTTCAAGCAAGCAATCCTTAAACAGAAGGAAAAAAACAAATGTATTATTAGCCTGTTTCCAGAGATTACAGCAGCTCACACTTGTGGCGTGAAGGCATGGTGTTTGTGTGTGTGTGGGGGGTGGGGGTGGTGGGGTGGTTCTGGGGCAGGCATCCCTGCATTTACCCTTTGGTGCAGGAACCAAGGCTGCACCATCTTGGGCTTCTGCCCCTCTTTGTATGGCACAGTAACAAGATAAGTCTCCTGATGAATTGAAATGTGGAACAGTTAACACATAGAGGATATGGACACATTTTTGGAATATTCCCTTTAATCACAGTGGGGAAACGGGCTTTGTTACCCGCTAGTCCCTTATCAACCTATGTCTGTGAATCCCTAGGTCTCTCTACCCCTGTACTCCCTTCAAAACGATACCATCTAGTTTCCTGTCTGTAACCTTGCAGCTACGCTTGTAACCACTTTAATTGAATCGGTCTTCTCGCTTTCATCAACATTTATTTTCCTTAAAAGGCTTGATCTTCGCTTCCTAGGCAATTTTGTCAATTAAGATTTAAAAAATATGTTATTGAGCTCGCTGGCTCCTTGTTCACATATTTGTACACATATCCTTTCGGGAGGACTCCTGTGGAAGTATCATGTGGGAGGACTCAGTAGGAAGACTCAGATGAACAGCTCCTGTTGGGAGGACTCCATGTTGGGAGGATTCCATATTGTGAGGAGCCTTGGTTGGGAGCATTCCTTGTTGGGAGGAACCCATGTTTGGAGGACTCTAGTGGGAGGACTCACGGTGGGATTAATCCTGGTTGGGAGTACTCCTGGTTGGGAGGACTTTTGCTTGAGAGGACACAGACACAGACAAACATTTTGTCTTTAATAGTATAGATAACAATAAAATAATAATAATCCTTGCATTTGGTATAGCACTTCTCACCTCTTCTAGATGTTTCAAAGTGTTTCCCAGAATATACTGTGAAGTGCATTGACTGTATAATCATGGGCAATATCCGGCAGAAAATTGGACACAGCAGTGTTCACCTGATTGTTTCGTTTTGGACTGAGTGACTAAATTGTCACTCTTTTGTTCTTGTGGGTTTAATATCAGGCATGTGGGATGAGGAAATTTATCCAAGGTTTCACCCTACTGGGAATCGTACCTCGGTCTCTCGCTTGCGAGATGCGTGCTCTAACCACTTAGCTACATAACTCTAGATAGATGCATCTCTCAGAAGGATGTGTGACATCTGTCGCCTCTTTATTGCAGAATACCATGCCTATTTATTTGGGGGCTTAAAGCATTTATTAATATATTTTTATTATAGCTGATTATCGGTAGGAAATTCCCCCCAAAATATGCCCATGTTGCTCCCCCTTGCGAAACCTCTCCGATGAGGTGTAAATCATCTCTATGCTTCATTCAGTAATTGCTTTCTTGGCAGACACCCAGACAGACATTTTGTTTTTGTTAGTATCAATTGGCTCTCATCAATCTTCCTCCATGAATGCATCAACTCACACTTCTCCTCATTAAACGTCACCTGCCGCATGTCTGTCCGTTTCACCAGTCTGTCTATATCCTCCCCCCATCCTCTACAATCCACTTGACTTCCAAAGTTCAGTGTCAAAATTAAACGTTGCTTTTGATACTCAAGTCATTCACATATATTAAAAAAGAGCAGTGGACCTAAAACCGGCCCCCGGGGGACATGAGAGTCTGAAAAACAACCATTTACTACGTAACCACTGCTTTCTGTCTCCCAGATAATTTTGCACGTTACTTTGCCAGAACACCAGGTTATTCAATACAAGTTACACAAAGATTCAAAGTAAAAAGTCCATTATTCAAACACAAGCATCAACAGTGTCTGCATTAATGTTGATAAATATCATCACAGTTTTATCCAACAATCAAAATGTTTATTACCCACAATGACACCAAACTCCAAATGGAGAAAGCCCTCCTTACGAACCCCACAAATTCGCTTTCTCTTTTGCTGGTAACTTTCTTACTAGTGGCAAATCTCCTCACCCCTGTACATATACATTGATACAGTAGACTCGATATTGATTTTACTGGGAACTGCACTGAGCTCTCCACTACTCCAACTATTTCTAATAATCATAGAATTATACAGGACAAAAAGAGACCATTTGGCTAACTGTGCGTGTGTCAGCAAAATAAAATTACATCTTTCTTTACGTTTTTCTAACTTCGGCTGCTCTCCTCACAGAAATAGCCAACACACTACACACGCTGCTTTGCAGAGATAGGAGACATGGACAGCTTCTGGGAAGCCTCCGACCGCCTGCTTGTTTCTCATTCTTGAGATAGGCAGATGGCTGAGGCTGCAGTATTTTAATCAGAACTTGACTTCATCCGGTCCAGCAAAGTTACTTTAACCTCTGCTGAAATAATCGTTAAACCAAACAAACCTTATCAAAAGCTTATAGCTAAGCTATATTCTAAACGGTTACAAAGATTAATTTGTAGCCATAAAAACATTAAACATCACAATTATAAATGTACAGTGACCAAAGACAACAGCAACATTGCATTTTTATAGCGCATTTCCCGGTCGTTGGATGATGAATACTTCGGACTTGAGGGGACGGGATTGTGGAGGGTGTAGGGCAGGGGCGGAAGGAGGGTGATCGAAGACATAGTCGAAAAGGAGGGTCTTTTATTATATTAATATTTATTTTTTGGCTATAGTACCGGATTACAGACCGCCACAAGGGTTGACATGATTCCGACATTCCTTTGCCAGGCATATTAACCTGGAAGCAGTTCAGCTCCAAGGATACCCTTCTTACACAGGTAGCCCCATAATAATTATAACTATTATTATGCTCCTTTGCTGAGCGGCTAAGGTAAGTAAGGAATAGTGTGGCAGGATCTAGGTGTGGAAAGGGAGAGCGGTCAAGTGTCCTAAACAAACGCAGCTCTGTACTGTGACGGCAGGAAGGAAACTGTAGGTTTTATATAAATGATAAGTAGGCCGAAGGCTCTTCTTTATCCAAACCAACAAGATGTTGCCATCACATACCATGGAACCCAGTAAGGGTTCAGAGTGGAGATTATGTCACCAAAAGACGGGCAGAGAGACAAGCAGGCAGAGAGTATGTTTGTAAGTTACAGTGTCTAAGGCAGAACAAGGAAGTTTACATTTGCTGTTTTCCTGCACAGGAGATCATCAGCTTTTAGAGAGATAGAGGCCAGAAGGCGGCAATTCACCCCCATCAGCAACTGGACACAGAGAGCAGCACCCGGTAGGCTCAATGCATCAATTTCCTCAACGTGATTTACACTAATATTTAATGTCAGCATCAGGTCACTTTAGATCTGCAGATCTGTGGAGTCCTGTAGCTTACAACAACAACTACATTTACACAGCGCCATTCACACGGGGTAGCATCCTGGAGCTCTTGACAGTGGCAGAGTCTGACCCCAAGCTAAGGCGAGAGGGAGGGGTGACGAGACCGTGAGCACGATCAAAACGGAAAGTATTTAGGCAGGATTTGAAGTTGGGGAGAGAGGGGGCAGGCCAAGGGACAGTGTTTGTTTTCGCAAGGATTATTACTATCCCAGCGTCTGGTTTCCTGTCTTTCTGTACAATCAATGAGACAGATGGAGAACAAGAAGCCGGGGCTTCAGTCCTTGATCGAACCTTGTTGTACATCCAAAGATGCCATTTGGGATTGAATTGCTGATGAATCCTGATTTGGATTCCGATAATCTCCAAGTGGAACCGTAGTTTTTATCACATGGCTAAACTCTTGTCTCCCAGTATCATAGATCCCTTAAATACAATTGTTTAATCATTTCAAGCAGTTCATAGGCCATTACTGTTTGAAATTGGCTGCTGTATTTGCCCACAGAATCCCGTGAAGCAGTAATGATGTCATCTTGATGTGAATGGTGCCACACTAAATGTAATAATAATAATTAGTGGTAATAATATTATTACAATAGAAAATTACAAAATTACATCTGTTTATCACCTTTCACCCAAGGTGCTGTCCTTGGCAATAGCAAAGGAAGAGTCATATTAATTGCGAGCTGTTGCTTTCACCAAATAGACCAAATGGGAGTCAGAAAGCAGAGAGTGGTAGTGAACAGTTGTTTTTCTGTCTGGAGGGAAATGTGCAGTGGTGTCCCCCAGTGGTTTGGTATTGGGACCACTAACTTTTTTATCCATGAAAATAACTTGGACTTGGGTATAGGAGTACAATTTCCAAGTTTGCAGATTATATTAAGCTAGAAAAAGCAGTTACCAGTGAGGAGGATAGTAGCAGACAGCAAGAGGAAATAGACAGACTGGTAAAATGGGGAGACACGTGTCAGGTGAAGTTAAATGTGGAGAAATGCAATGTGGATGCATTTTGGGAGGAATAATGAAGAGAGGCAACATAAGCTAATTGTAGAATCTTAAAGGGGATGAAGGAACAGAGAGACCTGGGGGTTCATATTAGTAAATATTTGAAGGTAAAGGTTTTAAAAAGCATACAGTTTACAAGGCTTTATAAATAGGGGCATAGAATTCAAAAGTCAGAAAACTGCCAATATACCCGCTCTCTCCGTTCAGCGGGCACTGGGCTGCTCCGAGGCTCCAGCCCGACCCACCCTACAATCGGTGGCCGGGCTTTCAGCCTCTCTGCCCCCATACTCTGGAACTCCATCCCACGGTCCCTTCGCCTCGCTTCCTCCATTGCCCCCTTCAAGGCTGGTCTCAAGACCCTTCTCTTCGATCGTGCCTTTGGTGACCCTCCCACCTCTCTGCCTTCCCTCACCCAAACTCCACCCCTCCCCCATGCTCGGGCTCCGACACCCGACTGTTCAGCGCTTTGAGACGTCCTTCCATCGTGAAAGGCGCTCTATAAATGCAATTGTGTTGTTGTTGAAGTTATTACGAACCCTTATAAAACACTGGTGACACTGGTGCCTCAGCTAGAGACTTTGTTGAATTATGGGCAACACACTTGACGAAGAATGACAAGGCATTGGAGAGGGTGTAAAGGAGATTTTCCAGGATCGAACCAGGAAAGAGGAAATTCATCGGGAGACACTCTCTTGTCTTTAACAACTGCCAAAGCATCAACAAATGGACTTTGGTTTAGTGCCTTGTCTGAAAGATTGCAGCTCAGGGGTGTAGGATACCCCAGGAGTGACTGGCATTGCAGTGAGAGGCTATGAGTTCCACATCCCGCCGTGGGGCTTGAACCCACAAAATTCCAACTCTGGCATAAATATGTTTCAACTTTATAGATTTATTAAATGTGTTCAAAATTATGAGGGGTTCTGATGGATTAGGGAGGGTATAACCGTTTCCTCTGGTGGTTGGTTCGGTAACCAGGGGCACAGACATAAGGTAATAGGCAAAAGAACCAAGGGCGAGTCCTGCATTGGATTGTCAGCCAGGTTTTTGAGGTCAAAGCCCTGATATGGAGCTTGAACCCACAAAGTTTTCCCTCAGCAGCGAGAATGATACCAACTGAGTCAAGCTGACAGCTGCCTGATATCAGCTACTAAATATTATTTTTGGTCAAAGGATGTTGGTTTATTCTGTGCTTTTGCAATAATAAGCACGGTAATATTTCCTGAAATATGTTTGAAGGAACAAAAGTTAAATCATGTCTGACTAATGTTTTTTATTGGTTATTGAAGGTACAAACACTTTATTCACTGAGACCTTGGCCCAGTATGATGATTACCAACTGCACAAACTGACAGAGGACAGATCGGGACAGATTGGAACAGGCCATTGAGGAAGGCGTGGAGGACATCAGCTCAAGGCTGACACAGAAGGAAAGTTTCAGCACTCAGGAGCACAAAGTAGGTTTGAGTCAGACTGTAAAATTTTCCTTAGATCTGTTAAAATGTCAGCAAGTCTGTGTCTGTCTGCACAGCTCCTGTGCTGCTATTATCAAGAAATCAACAAAAGAGCAAATAACCAGATTAACCAACCAGTTATGTTATGTTGCAGTACATAATAATAATAATCCTTACATTTGAAACAGCGCTTTTCACATCTTCTCGACTTCTCAAAGCGCTTCACAGAATAGACTATACAGTGAACTGATTGTATATTTGTGGGCAAAACGTGGCAGCCAATTGCTCACAGAAGTGTCCCACAAACAGTCTTTGATTGAAAATGACCAATTTATTATTGTTTGGGGTTTTGGAGGGATTATTATTAGACGTGTGGAGTAAGGAAACTTGCCCAAACTTCCTGCCTGGAATTGAACCCAGGTTTCTCGCTTTCAAGGCGAGTGCTCTAACCACTGAGCTACAGGAATCCGCATACATTTCATATTGCGGTGGAGCAGTACAGCGCAGTGTAAGAGGTACAACCGCCAAACTGCGATCAACAAGTTGCGTTTTTATAGAGCCATTCACGTGCAAACCAAACTGGATTTGAGAAGGAATGGGGAGGGAAGATGTTTAAATGAATTGTCACAGAGGAAAGCAGTTTGTGGTTGGAAGAGATAGCAAGTCCAGCAAAACCACCAATGGAGCTGGGTATTGCTGATCACTGTCATTGCTCACATTTCACTCCATCTTCAAAAGATTAATTCTTACTCCCTGCAGAAACTCATTGAGCTCACACACACTGGGCAGAGGAGAGACAGGTTTCCGGGCCATGAGAGTGATGTGGGAATCCTTTGTGGGAAAGAGGCAGACTTTGCCCAAACTGAACAAAATTATGACTGAAATACACGATAAAAGGTACAAAGATAAAAGATAAAATGTATGATGGTACACTGTGCCTCCATTTTGTGTTGAGTTACGCATTATACTGAAATAGTATTGAGACAACATTCATTCAAACTAATAATATTAACTCTATTCAAACAGGTGCCATTCTAGTGAATGAGGTGACCATTAACCGAAGTGTACCAGAAGTCCCCAGTGATATGATAGGTATGTGATTGGGACAAGATTCAAGCTGCCAATCATTTCTGAAAGAAACGGTTTGTCACTTTTCCATTTACTGTGAGAGAAAAAGAGAAAGAGAAGGACAGAAAGAGCGAGATCGACTGAGAGAAAGAGAGAGATAGACTGAGAGAGAGATTGACTACGAGAGACAGAGAGAGAGAGAGAGAGAAAGAGACTGGGAGAGATACACAGAGGGAGAGAGAGAGAGAGAGAGAGACTGAGAGAGACTTTGGAGAAAATATATTACAAACTGTAGTGACTGTGTGTTTGGTGGGAAAGTCAGTGAGACAGACTGTGAGAGCGAGAGACTGAGAGAAAGACTGAGAAAGACAGAGGCTGATAGGGAGACAAAATGATAAACAGACTGAGAGAAATGGAGTTAGACTGTGATTGGAAAAATAACTTGTAGTGACTGTTTATTTTGTGGGAGAGACTAAGAGATAGTGACTGAGAGAGAAAGAGAGACAGAAGGAGACACAGAGCGAGACTGAGTCAACAATATATTATAACGAATAGTTACTGGGACTTGTGGGAGACCCGGAGCAAGAGACTGTGAAACAGACTGTGTGTGAAAGAGAGAGAGAGACGGAGAGAGAAACTGACACAGAGAGAGAGTGACAGTCAGAGAGAAAGACAGAGACAGAGCGAAAGACTGAATGAGAGAAACAACTGAACAAGAGACAGAGAGAGAGAATGAGAGAGAGAAAAACGTAGAGAGAGAGACTGTGAGAGAAATATTATAAAGTGTAGTGACACTGTGTTTTGTGGGAGCAGAGAGTTACTGCGAAAGAGAGAAAGAGCCATAAAGAGAGAAAAACAGAGAGAGAGTCAGTGAGAGAGAATGACAAAGAGGCAGAAAGAGAGAGAGAGAAGAGAGGCAGAAAGAAAGGAGAAGAGAGAGTCAGAGAGGCACTGAGAGAGACTGCGAGCGAGACTGAAAGACAGAGAGAGACAGACTGAGAGAGAGACTGAGAGAGAGAGAGAGTGAGAGACTGGGAAAGGGAGACTGAGAGAGACAAACTGAGTGAGGGAATGAGAGAGAGAGAGAGAGAGAGAGTGAGTGACTGGGAGAGGGAGGGAAACAGACACAGAGAGAGACTGAGAGTGAAAGTGACTCAGAGACATAGAGTGAGAGAGAATGTGAGAGAGAGAGGCAGAAAGAGATACTGAGAGACACCGATAGAGAAAGATATTCTAAGAGACTGAGGGAAAGAGAGACTGAGAGACAGAGATGGAGTGAGTGTCTGAGAGACATAGAGAGAGAGAGACTGAGAAAGAGAGAGGCTGAGAGAGAGAGAGAGAGAGACTAAACGAGATAGACTGAGTGACAGAGGCTGAGAGACTGTGTGAGAGAGAGAGACATTGAGACAAAGGCAGAGGGAGAGACTGCGAGAGAGACGATGAAGGAGAAAGACCTAGAGAGAGAGAGAGAGAGACTTAAGGGCGAAAATGAGTTAAAGAGAGAGAGAGAGCCTGAGACAAAGGCAGAGGGAGAGACTGTGAGAGAGACTGTGAAAGAGAGAGAGAGAGAGAGAGGGAGGAAGAGACATAGTCTTAGAGAGGGACTGAGCGATATTGAGAGAGAGAGAGAGAGAGAGAGAGACTGAACGACTGAATGACTGAGTGAGACAGAAATGGAGAGAGAATATATTATTATGTGTTGTGACTGGTTTATCAGCGAGTCAGAGATAGTGACTGAAAGAGATTGACAGAGAGGGAGAGAGAGAGACTGTGAGAGAGACAGAAAGAAATACCGATAGACAGAGAGAGAGAGAGAGAGAGAGAGAATGAGAAAGAGATTCTGAGAGAAAGAGAGAGAGAGAGAGAGAGAGACTGAGAGAAAATATATTTTAAAGTGTAGCGAATGTGTGTTTTGTGGGGGAAACAGATACGGAGTGACTGAGAGAGAGAGAGAGATTGGTAGAAACTGCGGGAGAGATAGAGAAATAAACTGAGAGAGAGACTGAAAGAGAAAATGACTCAGAGACACAGAGTGAGAGAGAGACTGAGGGACAGCCTCAGAGAGCCTGAGAGATAGAAACTGAGATAGTGAGAGAGAGAGAGAGAGAGAGAGAGAGAGAGAGACTTAGCGAGAGGGGGAATGATTGTTTGTGTGTGTGTGTGTGAGAGAGAGAGAGAGAAGAGAGCATCTGAGAGAAAGAGAGAGACTGAAAGAGAAAGTGACTCAGAGACACAGAGTGAGAGAGAGACTGAGGGACAGCCTCAGAGAGCCTGAGAGATAGAAACTAAGACAGTGAGAGAGACTGAGAGAGAGAGGGAATGATTGTGAGAGAGACTGAGAGAAAGAGAGAGACTGTGAGAGAGTATACCTTATAACGTGAAGTGACTGTGTTTTGTGGGAGAGGAAGGGAAAGAAACAGAGAGAGAGACTGAGAGAGAAACTGACTCAGAGACACAAAATGAGAGAGAGACTGAGGGACAGCCTCAGAGAGCCTGAGAGATAGAGACTGAGATAGTGAGAGAGACTGAGAGAGAGAGGGAATGATTGTGTGTGTGAGAGAGAGACTGTGACAGAGAATATGCTACAATGTGTAGTTACTGTGTTTTGTGGGAGAGGCAGAGAAAGCAACTGAGAGAGAGAGAGAGACTGTGAGACAAAGTGAAAGAAATTGAAGGAGACTGAGGGAGAGGGATAGAGAGTGAGAGAGTTAGAGTGAGAGACTGGTGTCTGTATGTGTGCGTGTGTGTGTCTGTTGTGAGAAATATTTGTAACGATGTTAGAATGATCCGATTCCAGTTTACCTATTGGTTGAGTTCAGTCACTTTATTCAGGTCAAAACAGCAGGAGATACACAAATAAACGAAACAACAAAATAATACACAAATAATAATAATAATAAAAAATAATACCGAGCGGATTCCTGTCACAGCTCTGGTCGTGTCCCGCACCGCTCCGCTACCGTTCCCGAGAGATATCTTACACGCCTTTGTTTAAAGACACCTTAATAACTCCAGACAAAGCTTTCCTTCTTTAGGACAAACAACTCCTTACATGATTATATCCATAATATGTTTTAATTCTCCTTTTAACCACATTTGATTGTCTCCTGATCAGTCCCTCCGTCCTGACCTTATATTGCCATTGTGTTGGGTTCCGCCTTCAGTCACTGAGATTTACAGCTTTTGCACTTCTATTTTATATTCTTAAACCACACATTAACAGTAACCCGTGACAACACAGTGTGAGTGTGCATGTGTGTGTGTGTGTATATCAGTGCATGTGTTTGTGTACGTTTCTGTGTGGGTGTATGTGTGTCGTGTGTGTGTGTATCTATTTGCGTATCTGTGTGTGTGTTGATGTTTTTGTGAGTTTTTTTTGAGTGTGCGCGTGTTTGTGAGTATCTGTATGTGTGCATTTGTTTGTGTGTGTGTTTGTTTATATGCTTGTGCGTGTGTGTGTGCGTGTGTTTTTGAGTGTGTCTGTGTGTGTCTCTATGTATTTCTATGTGCATCTGTGTGTGTGTTTCTGTGGGTGTTTTGCGCGTTTGCCACCGTGTGTATGTTTGTGTGTTTGTTTGTGTGTTTCTGTGTGTGTATTTGTATGCGTTCCTTTGTGTGCATGTTTGTGTATATGTGTGTCTTTGTGTTTGTGTGTGTGTGTGTGTGTGCATGTGTGTGTGTCAGCGCCTTGGGACGTCCTCGCGACGTGAAATGCGCTATAAAAATGTAATCTTGTTGTTGTTGTTGTTGTTGTGTGCTTGTGTGTGTTCCTGTGTGTGCGATTGTGCGTGTGTTTGTGTGTGTGTTCCCAACTCTTCCCTTCACAGCAGCAGATCATCCAAACTCCGACCCCATCACTCCCACCCTCGCCCGACCCCATCACTCCCACCCTCGCCTGACTCCTTCACTCCCACCCTCGCCCGACCACATCACTCCCACCCTCACCCTCACCCATCATTCCCACTGTCGTCCGACCCCATCACTCCCACCCTCGCCCAACCCCATCACTCCCACCCTCACCCTCACCCATCATTCCCACTGTCGTCCGACCCCATCACTCCCACCCTCGCCCAACCCCATCACTCCCACCCTCACCCGACCCCATCACTCCCACCGTCGTCCGACCCCATTATTCCCACCGTCGCCCAACCCCATCACTCCCACCCTCTCCCGACCCCATCACTTCCACCCTCGCAAGACCCCATCAGTCCCATCCTCGCCTGACCTCATCACTTCCACCCTCGCACGACCCCATCACTCCCATCCTCGCCTGACCCCATCACTCCCACCAACGTCCGACCCCATCACTCCCACCCTCTCCCGACCCCATCACTCACACCATTGCCCAAACCCATCACTCCCACCCTCGCCCAACCCCATTAGTCTCATCCTCGCCTGACTCCACTGCTACCCCAACCCCAAGATCATCGTTTAAGATCACCTTTAAGGCCATCCATGGCCTTGTCCCCTCTTCCCCTCTCTGACCTGCTGACTCCATACCAACCTGCTCGCTCCCTCTGTCCAGTGGGCTCCGGGCTGCTCCATGTCTCCCGCCCGACCCGCCCTCCCATCGGTGTCCGGGCTTTCAGCCTCTCTGCCCCACACTCTGGAACTCCATTCCACGGTCCCTTCGCCTCACTTCCTTCCTTGCCTCCTTCAAGGCCGGTTTCAAGGCCCTCCTCTTCGCCCGTGCATTTGTTCTCACTCCCACCTCTCTGCCTTCTCTCACCCCTACCCCACCCCTCCCGCATACTCGGGGCCCCGACACCTGACTGTTCACCGCTTTGGTACATCCTCACGACGTGAAAGGAGCTCTATAAATGTTATTTTGTTCATGTTGTTGTGTATTTGTATGTTTTGTGTATGCATTTGTGTTTGTGATTGTTTATGTGTGTATGTGTGTTTATGTGTATGTGTGTTTTTGTGTGTGTTTACATGCATGTGTGTGTTTGTGTGTGTGATTATGTGTGTGATTGTGCGTGTTTCTGTATTTGCCCGTTTGCGTGTGCCTTATGCGTTTGTTTTTGTGTGTGTTTTTGTATGTGATTTTATGTTTGCGTGTGTGCATTTGCATCTGTGCAATTTTTTTGTGTATGAGTTTTTGAGGGCTTTTCTGAGTGTTTCTGTGTGTTGCTGTGTTTTCGT